TCTTTACTTTATCTTACCGCGAGTAGACCGGATATCATGTACTCCGTTTGTATATGCGCTAGGTATCAATCATGTCCTAAAGAGTCGCACTTGGTTGCGATCAAAAGGATAATGCGATATCTTACGGGCATGTTGAACGTAGGTCTTTGGTATCCCAAAGGTTCAACATGTTATCTTGTTGGCTATTCCGACTCGGATTTTGCAGGTTGCAAACTCGATAGGAAAAGTACCAGCGGTACTTGCCACTTATTCGGTCATTCGTTAATCTCGTGGTTTAGTAAGAAGCAGGTTAGTGTTGCACTTTCCACCACCGAAGCGGAATATGTCGCTGCGGGAAGTTGTTGTGCCCAAATTCTTTGGCTAAAACAGCAACTAGTGGATTTCGGCCTTATACTTGATCACATCCCAATTAGGTGTGACAATATGATCGCTATTAGTCTAACGAAGAACCCCGTTCTTCACTCGAGGACTAAGCACATAGAAATTAGGAATCACTTCATACGAGATCACGTCCAAAAGGGAGATGTCACAATTGAGTTTGTTGAAACGAAACATCAATTGTCAGACATTTTCACGAAACCCCTTAGTAGGGAGAGTTTCTTCCACATTTGGAACGAAATTGGAATTTTGGATATCTCTATGAACTAATCCATTCTTTTTATTGACTATACTAATTTGAGTGTCGGAGGCGCGATAAACTCTTTTTTGCAGGTATCTCTTCCCTTTGTATTCAACCGAATTGGACTTGATGATTTTTTTCTGTCAAACAAGTTTTAATCGATTACTCCTCGAAGAGAAATCGATTAGTCGCCTCTGTCCCTATTAATCGATTACTGGACTTTTGTTAATCGATTAAAATCCGAAAACTTCTTTAGCACTGATTCACTTTTAATCGATTAATTTTGTTCAATTAACCGATTAGACTCATCTGTCCATCTTAATCGATTAACCATCTCTGTTTAATCGATTAATAGCTTGAAACGCAAACGTCTGGTTCTGCTTCACTTCTAATCGATTAATAAGCTTATTTTAATTGATTAGCCTCGGCTGTGTTCTCTAATCGATTAAAACTTGTTTTTAATCGATTAATAGTCGATTTTTGCCCTTATATCCAGCCAGGCTTCGTCTTCTTCGCCATTCTCCTGTTACGAAATCCGAACAAATCCGAAACCCTAACACCTTCCCTTCTCAAATTTTTCTCAAATTTCTTCCATTTTTCTCACCAAATTCCATCAATTTCAAAGAGGAAGGATGCCAAGGTGCAAGAATGCTTCATCGCGTCAAGAAACGGCGGCAGAGGAGAGTGAGAGGCCATGGCGTCGTGAAGGGAGCAAGTACATTCACATACAAACCGGACTCGCCTTCAACACTGGGGCTTCGGTCGAGAGGTTCCACAACATATTCCTCACGAAAGAGATAGTCTCTTCTAAGATCGTGAACAAGGACCTCTTCAAATCGGCGACCTATGCCCCGAGTAAGTCTCTTCTCCTTCAGCAAGGTTTGCTTCGTTTCATCCATTTGACGTATGAATTCTTTTGTCCAAATCTTATATGTCAATTTTATGCAAATCTTCGTACCACTAAGGGAGACTCGGCATCTCTCATTTCATATGTTGACGGAAAAACCGTTTTCATTGACGGTGCCGGTTTGACTTCTTTGTTTGGCCTTCGTCGTGGTGAAATTACCAAAAGCTTGGATGAAACATTCCAAGATGAGGCAATTTGGCGACAACTCGGGTTAGATCATCGTGACCTCAAGTTTAGAAATTCTAGCAACCCGAGTGTCATTAATCTCACTTTAATTCAACGCGTCCAACAATACATCTTCTCCTATGTTTGTTGCCCCGTGATTCGAACCATGGCGTTGTCAACAAGGACGATATTTGTTTGTTTCACGTCCTGTTGAACGATGTCAAATTTGATTGGGTTCACTTCTTTATCATTGCACTTAGCGATGTCACTCGTTTTTCCCATCTCCGTTTTGCCATCCCCATTATGCATATTCTTTCTCATTGCAAAATAGACTTTACTCGGGACACTCAGGTGCCGGTCAAGAAGACGTGTTTCATCACTGAAGCCAAGTTTTCCCGGATCGTGTATCGAGAGGAGGGCGATGCTGCACCAAATCTGGACCTGATAGTCGCAGAAGAAGAAGAAGAAGAAGAGAGCCAAAATGAGACTCAAGCAGAGTCATCTCGAGCCGGAGGAAGTCGAGCCACGGAGCGCGTCACTCGTCAACGGAGGACTCGTCCAAGAGAAGAAGCACCGGAACCTTCTTGGGTGAAGAGGATCTTCGATACTCTCATGTGCATCCGAGATGACGTTCGCCAGCTCAACGAGAGGATGACTCGTCTTGAGCAATCTCGCTCCTACCGTGGCCCGCGTCACAGCTTTGGCGGAGGAGCTCGTCCGGCGAACTCTCTTTGATTATTTTCTTTCCATCTTGACTCACTATGATACATTGTTATTTGCTAATGTTATTATGACTCTTTTGGTGGATGATGATGTTCCTTTCAATGATGCTAGTTGATATTAATTTTGATTGTGTATTGATATCATTATTGGTTTGGCAATAGTGTTCTTATTTAGTGTTAGAATAAGGTACCAACGCTAGAGGGGGGGGGGGTGAATAGCATTTGATCGTAGAAATCGCAGGAATTAAAAAATTAAAAGAGAAGTAAAGAGAAGAGTAAGAGGCACACCGAATTTTACCCTGGTTCACCACAACTTGTGGCTAATCCAGCCTCCCGAGAGACTCTCTCGAGCTACACTACTATCTCGTTAAGCTTGCAGGTGCTTAACAAACCATTACAACTTGAGAGTTCGAGTTACACGAACCTCAACGAGTCCTTCAAAGGAAACAGCCCTTCCTTTGAATCTACCGAGAGAAATACTTTCTCTCAAAGTGTCTATGGTGGTCCCAAAGTGGTGAAATACAAAGTCTAGAGGGGGGGTGAATAGACTTTGTTACAGATTTAAAATCTTTTTCGTTTCTTTTGAAAACGTGAAAATGAGTGTTAATCTAGAGTCCTTGTGAACTTTAGATTGTGTGCGGAATTTGGTGGGTGGAGTGAGCAGTAATCAATATGGATAGGTTAGTTTTCACAGTTAATATAATTGCAAGTAAGAATAAAGAT